AAAAAAAAAAAAAAAAAAAAATATATGATATATATATATATATATATATATATATATATACACGCACACACAGCAAAAATTATATCAGTCCACCATCGAGGCATAACAAAGGGGGCATCAGGAATCTAAAATAAACAAAAAAAAAAATAATAGAAGGATCTCATCAAAATCACAGACCAACCATTTAATTTTGTAATTAGAAGATACCGTACCCTTACCCTGAAGCGCTTTTTACATATTCCTTCCCGTCTCCCCGCCCCATGACACATGAGGCCTATGCCCTCTCCAGCCAGTCCCATTCCCACTCCTCTCGCGAGGACCTCCCACACCCGAATTTTCACTATCACCGTTACCCTCTCCTTCGTTCCCATCGCTAGCAGGAGATTCAGAAGCAGCTCCCGAGCCAGCCACATACGCTTTTGGCGGTGCGACAACCACCTCACCGGCCCCATCCCTTTTCTTCGCCGGTCTCGTCCCATCCGCAAACTGCACTTTGCCCTTCACGGTACGGGGTTCCCCATCATCCTCACTATCCGGATCCTCGAGGGCCGCGGGCTGTCGACCACGTCTGCCAGTCCGATCCCGAGTTCCGCCCGGAGATTCCGTGCCACCCCAATCATCATCATCATCAGCTTGATCCTGCAATTCACCCAGCGCTGCCAGCCGGCGTTTTCGCTCAGCCGGTGTCTCTGCACTGTCATGCAATGCTTGTGGGAATGGAGCGGTCTGGATGGCAATGGTTGAACCGGCTGGTTGGCGTCGTTGGGACGGTGGGATTCGTTCGGTGCCATCATCTTCGGAATCGCGGGGATTTCGCGTGGTGGATGGGGGAGTGGAGCAACCTGGTTCTTCACCCTTGTCTCCAGAGGCGGCTACGATGCCCCGTTGATGTGCTCGGGTGTCTTCTTGTTGCCGTTCTTGCCCTGTTGTTTTAGTGGTTTGGGAGTCGCGGTTGTCTTGATGTTCCAAGTGGCCGGAACGAGCACGCTCCCTTTGGAGGGCGGCTTTCATCTGTTCCGGAGTGGAGGAGTGATGGAGTAGTTCCGCGCGGGTTTTTGGGTCAAGTGTGCGGATCTGTTTGATAAAATCATGCTTGCCCATTCTGAGACCCATTTCGGGCTTTGTCATCAGGTCTGGCCTTGTGATGGTGAATCGAAGACGCTCATCATCAGACGAATCACCTTCGGTTTGTTGTGTTTTCTTCGAGGAGGGTTCGCCTCCTTCTCTAGGCTCTCCAAGGCCAATCCAGGTCCCCACGCGGGATATCCTTCGTCGCATAGGCTCAAGCTCGATGGACGATGGAAGATTCACCTCTGCAGGGTTACTAGAATCAGCCTCCTCGGAATCCTTCATTGGCTTCTCATCAGGATGGATAGTAAATTTCTTGATAACTTCGCCATCTGCATCTTCGACAATGACTGTGTTTCCAAATTGATATGCTCTCGCGGGTCGACGTCGTCCGTCATCTGGTTTCTGTGTTGGTCCTGCGCCTTCGGATTCTTTTGTGAGCCTTCGGCCACCACGGATCCATGTAGGGAGGAGTCCTTTAATCCTTTCATAAGTATCTCCGGCATTCCCATCGACGACAGAGCCAGAGCATTCACTATCGTGTTTCTCAACCGCCTGATCCTTGGATATTGGCAACTCTCCGATTCGATCTTGGCGAGACTGATTACGCTGTTGCAGAATGTGCGATTGTTCCTCACGGCTCAAGTGGCTATAATCGGCAATATCTACAACATTACCTTCCCTATCTTCGATAATTATCTTGTCGCCTTCACGGTAAATTTCCATGCCATGTATTTCAGTTGTCAACTCGCGTTGTTCCAAGGGAGGCCTGTTCTCATCTCTGCTTTCACTTTTCGGAGCACCAGGGGTCTCCAACCTCCTCTGGGGCATAATTGCAGACTGGCTAATCGGTCCACCCGCACCTCTTTTCCGTCTTCTTGTAGGCCTACGACTAGATGCGCGACTATTCGGTTCACTTTCCGCATCTTCTCTCTGACGTCGTAATAGATTCCCGGGAAATCCAACCGGACCAAGAGTCCCAGGAGGGAATTCCGGCAGTCTCCCGCTCGACTGCGATTCCATCGATTCTTTGCGCAAGGACATTGACGCCTTTGATTGCGTTTGGATGCGAGGAAGCCGATTCATCCATGAAGGGCCATCCTCGTTAGCTTGCGTATAGGACATTGTGATGGTCAAGGTATTGATATGCTTTCCGAGGGTGAAAACAGCAATCGATGATCCGTGGACAATAATGGATGAAATCACCAAGAACGTCGTAATAGGCCAAATAACAGTGACAATTGCGAAGTTTTCGTCACCAGGCCTTGGCGGTTCTGCAAGAGGTTGAGTTGATCCATTTTCCAACTCTGCCCTGGTGAGAATAGCAGCGAAAATAGCCCCTACACCAATTGGGCCGAAATGGCCCGCAAATAGCGCCTCTCGCCATGTTTTGATGTCAGGTATAAATGGTTTCAACATTAGCATGATGGGAATCCGCCTGAAAAAGATCACGAAAATAGCAATCACAACCAGCCTCCACGGCACCATACCAATTGCTGGAGCATTGAATTGCTGCCACGGTATAATTGCCCCAAAATAAACGAAATACGTTAAGTTGAGTAGTAGATCAATGACATTGGAAACGTGAGATTCTTCTGTCTTCTCAGTAAACCATCCGTCATTACTAAATCCCACCCCAGCAGAGAAGCCGATAAGCAAATCGTCCATACCCAGCAAACTGCCGGTACCAGCACAAAACAAAGCCAGTACGAAGTAGAACACAAGGAAACTCTCTCGATCGATGAGGCTCTTCCGTTCGGCGAATTTGATAGCGTGACGGCCAATGTAGCCGATCACAAACCCGAAAAATGCGCCGAAAATACATTCGTAAAGGATAGTAAAGCAAATCCAATGAAAGGCCACTTTCTTCGAATCCGGTCGGTAGTCAATGAGGTAAACAGCGAGGTAGATGAACGGAAAAGCCATACCATCGTTGCAGCCTGACTCTGCAGAGAGCAAATCTCGAAGGTGTTTGGGCACACGCTTTGCGAATTTCCCTTTACCAACCACGGATGACGCTAGGACGGGATCAGTAGCAGTAACACATGCAGCGCAAGCCAAACTTTCGAGCCATGACAAGGGTGGTACCATCCACCATATGATGAGGCTCGTTATGAGCCATCCCCAGGTCATGACGGGAAGCAAAAGCAGGACAACCGATCTCCAATGTTTTTCCATATAAAACTTGGGCAATTCGACCCCGACAGCAAAACACTGAACGACGAGCACAATGCGGGAGCATTCCAGCGTAATCTTGTCCACATTTCCCCAGGATATCGGGTCGAAGAGGCGGGCAGCGTGAGGACCGAAAATGACACCGCATAGTGTGGCCACGGTAGCTTCACCAATGTATAGTTTTTCCTTAACGAACAGTGAACACAACATAAACAAGCTGGTAAACCCTCCCAGGATGATGTAGGCCACGTGCGGCTTATCGATAGCTAGATGTTCCCACGCCATGATCGCAGGTTCTCCAACTCGACAACGGCTGAAAAAAGCACGAGAGGACCTGGATTCCTGCCCGCCTATGGAGCATAAGAGGAGGAGAGGATAGTGGAAATGCTCACTAAAAAAGTGAAAGCGGGAATCGTAGGCACCCAACTTTTCACACAACGTCCTTTCCCACTGGCTGTTTCTCCGCCCTGTTTCGTCACTGAGGTTCCCGGGAACTTCAAGTATTTTCTATTTTTGCTCTCAGCAACTCCAATGCCTCCTGCGAATGCACACTAACCGAGGCCAAGAACAAGCCTCCGTGGCGGTGTGCCAGCTCTTCCCGAAATATCAAGTTCAAAAACGCCTCTGGACATAATCCTTCAGAATAAGACATCCAAAACTCCGTTTTCTCGTAACACGAAACGAAAATTCGACGTTCGCTGTTTGGTGGCGCTAACACGCGGGAGCACCCGGGCGAGCGAAGATACGTGAGGAACGAATGGGAATGGATGATCTACCACAGCTCCTTTGTAAGTGGAGAGACAGGGTTAGTAAGGAGAAAAGAATGTGTAGAGAGAGAGGTGTCTAATTTCTCTCTTTTTCTCCCCCGCTGCAAGGTAATCTCGCCTTGCAAAAAGTAGATGAAGGAGAGGGAGAAGAAGGAGAGAGCGGTATTCTGCAAATGATTTTGTTATCAGCGGAGGAGCGGAGGAGCGGAGGCACTTCTTCGGGTCACAAAAGAAACGAGGCTGACAGCGGCGACAATCAGTGGCCAGTTGGAATGATGGCGACCCCCGCGCGATGTCTGTTAGTGTGCCTTGGTTTCCCATCATTCGCGAACGAGTCCCAGCCAATGCTTATCCCTCCGGCTAGTAGGGCCTGTCGGGCGGGGCTGCATCGATTGGATAGCCAGTTGGAGACCAGGGACAAATGACCGCAGATGCAACCAGCCCGCCTGTCGATTGGAAGAATACTGTAGATGATGATTGTGCGCAGCACAGAGAGTCCTCGCAGAGCAGATTTTCTGGTTCAAGTAGTTAGTTAACTGCATAAATAACCGACTAGTTATTCGCCGGGTTACCTAATCCGGGTTACCTAAGCGGCTGCGCCTTGGATGAACAATTTCTATCTTCAACAGTTGCCTTTTCGGTGGCAATAACGACCATTGTCGCCCACGAATTTACTCTCACACTGCATCTGCATGAGGGAGACCCCACGTTTTGTCCCACGTTTGGCACTCGGGAATCTGTATGCAAAAACCACTCGCCACAAGTCTTGGACGCTTCTTGGCTGCAGCCTGCCCATGTGGGATCGTGTCTCGCTGCATGGCACTTGGCAATTGCTTGATTTTCGTTCCATCATGGAAGCAATATGGAGAAGATGGGTCACGGCTATCTGTTGATTAATGCTTTAGGTAGAAGAACGCAAATGGTAATATGCGCATCAGCTGTGTATCAGTAGCAGCAAGATATATCGTTCATGTCGTCATATCATCGTGGCGCCGCCACGTAGTTTACTAGCCACCTACGGCTTTCCCTCCTCGATATAATTTATACCAATCGTCGGGAGTGGATGAGATGCGTTTTCCATTTGGAATAAGAGGCAATCAAAAAATGCTATGGCTATCCAGGCAGCAGATGTTCCATTTGATCCAAGCCCAGGGTTTCCAAAAAAACAAAAATGTACAGTTAAATCATCTCGTTTACACAGCGCAGAAGAGCGTGCGAATGGAAATTGTGTAAAATATTTGAAGAAATAGGTCAGTTGGGTAGGGTGAGTATAAAAGAAAGAATTAAAAAAGATGGAATCGGTCCTCAGGACTCGACCTCAGCAAAACTCGCACTCAAAAAGCCAAAAAATCTGATACGAGCGAGTAGAAACGACAATACTATCCAAGTAATCCTGAAAGAGCGTTATCAACAGGAAACAAAATATTAGAAATAGATAAACAGAGGCCAAGAAAAGAAGAGTGGCTCTCAACATCAAAATCGGACTATGCGAACAGGGGAATTGGGATTAAATGACAATACGCAAGAATATCGACTGACAGAGGCTAAGTGAAGATGAAGACGATGAAGGAGAGACGATCAAATGTATAGCACATCCGACAAGGGAAAATTTGAAAACTTTCTATGTACCATGTTCACATCCATACCCTCGATCAACAGCCATAAAACATACCCTATACAGAGGTCGGTGGTAGGATGCATTGTCGTTCTCGCTATAATCTGTCCATCCTTCTATTCAGCAGTAGGCATTGCCTCGACTTCTTCGCACAGAGAACGCCAGTTTTCGGCCTGCAGCTCGGCATACTTCACCCGCTCTTGGCTCCAGTCCTGATGCAGCCGGCTGATGTGATACTGGCTCATCTGGAAATACAGCAGCTCGTCACGGATACATTCCTTGATAAACACGCCCCTCGCATGCTGTTGGACGATAGATTGTTTGTCCTGCAGAGAAAGAAAAGTCCATGTTACTCGTGTGGTCATGTAGAACGAATTAATGGGCTTATTTTTTCATTCCTCTTTTATAGCCAGGGGCAGATCGTTGTGGGCCGGGAGTGGGGAGTGGGAAGGAAAACCAGGCTGTTAACAGGACATTTCTTTCTCACCTTGATAATCGAATCTTCAACTTTCTCCACCTCCCCAGGCTTAACAACCCCCTCAGGCCTAGCCCGCAACTCTTTCAATTTCCTCTCATTGCTTTCAATCCTCCGCTCAAGTTGTGGAATGTTGTCCTTGGCATAGCGGTCCCTCCGATCAAATAGATCGCGCATAGCCACGAGACAATCTCGCTGGGCCTTGAAGTCTTCAAGCACTCCGTCGTTCCATGCTCGAACCTCGTCATCTAACAACCCCTGGCTGGCGATGAGGTGTTTGGCTGTGGAGTTAATGCCATTGTTCAACAGCGGCACGTCGTTGGTGTCGACAGCATATGTGTCCGATGTACAATCGGTCAGAGACTGTAGGGCTCTGGAAAACCGGAATTGATCGGCGGCAAGTCCTTGGTTACGTTTCGCAAGGCGGTCAAGTAGATTACAAAGGTTGATATAAATGTCAGCTGAACGCCTGATCCCAGAACGAACTCTTTCAAAGGTCTCATTCAAAGTCGGAGGGAGGGAGTCTTCAAGATCCGGAGGTAGTGGTTTGCCTGCAAATTCCTCCTGAACGGAAATGGTGGCTTGTTTTCGCCAGACGGACAGCTCCTAGTTTGGGCTTTAGTACCACCATAACAGCTAATGGCTGGGGGAAATGTCTCCAATTTCATCACATACTGTAGGAACGGTTAGGAACATCACCACCAGTTGCTCCTGGTTCAAAACAGGGTGGCGAACAAGCGAAGTTGTGAATCGTACTAAACCCTTTCGTCGCTTGTCGAGAAAGGAGTTTGAGTCCGCTGCGAGGTGAGTGCCATTGACTTGATAAAAGAATTCGTGAGCATTTTTAAAGCTTGAAGTCAAGCCAACAACGTACCTGCAACCCTCTTAGGAGGGAGAAGTGGTATCTGCCGGAAAGGATACCTTTTTTGTAGACAATCCACCAACCATACAAAATCAGAATATCTCCGGATTACAGAGCTTCCTCGCCGTGAGGATTTGACCTCGTAGTTTCGATGCTGGAAAAAGAACATGCCCTCCTTTTCCGGCAGCATGTTGATCGTGATTATTTCTTCTACACCATGCGAGCTGATCCTGCCACCCCCAATGGACCTAGATATATTATTATTAGGATTGGTGTTTCCTTGATCATCTCCAGATTGTCCGAATTCCCCCCCTAGCCCAGAGTTTCCTGTGGATCCAAAACCGGCACCGGCCGGGTTAGAGAAATTCTCACCCCAACCAGACGCCACACTTCCCGGGGTATTTTCGCTGGGTTGTCCGGCAGATTGATCACCCTCAGTAGCGGAATCGGCTGGGGCATTATGTGCACTTGAAATTCTGTGAGCGAAACCATTCGTAGCAGAATGTGAAGACGCGACGAACCCGTTTACAACGGGGCTAGTTCCAATACCATTCTCAATTGAATGATTGTGACCGCGATGCAATGCGGGGCTTCCCCACGGATCAGAATCCCCAAATGACCCTTGCGTCATCCGACGCGGTGACGGCTGGTGGGGGAGAGGAACTGCGTGTTCGGGTGGTGCTATCGCTGTGCTGTGGCGGGACTTCAACCGATCGACATATGGTATGCTAGGCTTGGGAAGTCCTAGAATGTCATAAGAGAATCGATTAGCGTGAGTTTACGTCACCACTGCAATTTTACGGAAGATCAAGATGAAACAACATTCAACGAGTGAAAGAATGGATTCTTACTCTTTCTTCTTTCGTCAATCGTATCAAAAGTGAGATCTTCGCCCTCCTGGGCTAAACCTATCAGAGCAAGCAAAACGTTGAATTCGCCTCTCCCTAGCCCGTTCGGCAGATCGCGACCACCAGGGGCGACCATATTCAGAATTGTAGCCTGTTCCTCTGCGCTCAAACTAGAATCTCGCAGGACTTTCCTCGCCCCCATGACAGAAATGCCAGCACCAAGTTTATCCCCCGAATCCAACACTGCATCATATGCATCAATGTACCCTTCCGGAACCTCTGAGGCTGGTAATAGCATTTTAACAAGTTCGTGGCGCGCAGCCCTTTTCGGATTTGGCGAGTTCCATGCTGAGGAACCTCCTTGTGCCTCGTCGGCAAATAGGGCGGATGATGAGGTTGCACCCAAGGCCGGCTGATCTGAAAACAAGGATGGTTTGGAGCGGGAGGCAGAAGTGGCAGTGGCTTTGGCCACAGGTGAATCTCCGGGAGACGTACCAAAGAGGGACATATTGCGGGTAGCAAGGGGGAAAGGGCGAAGCTGGGTTCCTGGTGGGAGGGGGAGGATACTTGGTTGTGATTTAAGTCCTATCCAGATCACACCGGATAATGAAGCTAGTACTCCAGAGTAGCAATATACGTCAATTGTAAATTCTCACGGCTCAGCCTGATCGTGGGTTCGAGAATGGAGATGGCTTCAAGGACGTGCTTATCAAGCTGCCTGGTGGAGACTGAGTTAGTTGCTGGTTGCGGCAGTGGAGAGGAATTTGTAGTTTGACGCTAAAGAGCCTCTAGATAAGCCACATCACGGGGTACCTCCCACAGAATCAAGAGCAATAGCTGCTCAAGCCGCTCATGTACGCTGCATATGTGTAACTACTATGTAACTAACTACTCCAGAAGCAGGGACTCATTAACTATTACAAGCATGCTTCACTCGCTATGACCTGTTATATAAGCATAAAGTATCATGCATCTACTATCCTCGAGGCCAGGTGCTATATCATAGAAGAATATACAAATAATTAAGAGTACTAATCCACTGTAAATAGTAACTAGTTAGCAATCATTAACTAGAGTAAGCAATGATTTGAGACTAGAAAGAGAGATATAGTGATGGTGGAAGATTGGTTTATTGTGACTAGACGCCAGGGCAAGGTCAAGGTAGTTACGTAGTTATGTATGTATGTACAGTACACCCTACATCCTGGTTATAAAATTGGACTTTTACTAGTAGGCTAAAAGGAGAATTTCCTAATTACCATAGTCTTTAAGTCCACAATTTTATGCCCTGAAGTCTCACAATGGTCCTATAGTCCAGGAGAAAATGTCATAAACTTCTATTAGCAATAAGAAAGCATTAATTCATACACAGCCAAGGCGCTATCTATCCTTTCATATATGGTAGTCTCAAACATATGCAAAAAACTATATTCCTCCTTCACTAGAGCTTGCAACGTCTTGCTGGTCCATAGATTGGTTCCCGCCCTCGCTCACAGAGATCCTTTGAATCTTCCATCTGAGTGCGTCTTGCCATTCCGGACATCCCGTAGCCAGGACATTGCTAGTATTAAGTTTCCCCGTAAACCACCTATCCTTGCGTACACTTGCTTTATCACCTCCTTCAAGAGCTGCTAGGCTAGATCTAGTCGTTCGGATCCTTTTGCTACTCTTGGAGTCATGTGGAAGGGGTCCACTAAGGGCTAGCCGGTGTTGCTCGAGCCGTAAATCGAAAGCCACAATTGCTCGTATATACGGTGCTAGGTCTTCGGAAATTGGTGCTGCACCGCCGTCAAACGAAAAGGATTGACGGCCAGATGGAGCGTTAAACGGGTCCGAATCATCCATTATCGGCTCGAAGGTGTTGCGTAGAATGGACTGGTTTAGGTATACAGGTTTATGAGAGGAGAATTTTTCCAGGGTCTGCTGGATAATGGTGTTTTCGTCGGAGGATGGTGAGGAGTCATGGAAGGAGTTGTCCAATAAAACAGTCATTGCGACACCGATTTTTGTTGCCAGACATGCGTAATCAGCCAGTAGATCCGTTTGTAGCAGTTTATACCCTTCTGTGTACGTGGAGCGCCGTTTACTAGTGATTTTAGGCCAGGAAAGGTCAAAGACATCCTGTGGAAGAAGTTAGAATTATTCCTGCGGTAAGTCTTCAACAATTAACTTACATCAGTAGGGGACTCAGGAGAACCTCTGCAAATCATATCGAGGTTAGCCATCATATCAGCCTTTTGACTTTCCTGGACCAGCGCTTCAAGGCGACTCTGGCCATCATGACCCCGTAACTCGTCCCGATACATGTTCGATTCATGCCAGTCCATAAGACCTATTTGCCATTGGCCTAAACACTCGAACATAAGCTGGTTCCTTCGTTCGTAAGCATCATCATCACAGGTGAGATCCTGGCAGACAAGCCCCATTCCATGAACATACGTGTCCGTGCTCACAATCTTAGGACGATTATCCTCATGTGTTTGGTTATTATGTCGAACGGGCAACATAGTAAACCAGTCTAGGCCTGACTTTTTACTCCCAACACCCATCTGACACCAAAAATTCAACTGCATGATGGCTGCACGAAGATCTAAACGCATTACAGTGTATAGTTCGGATATCCATTCTCGATCCAGAATATGCCCTTCATTAGCAGCAAGGAGGAGGAGGTAGTCAACTGCGAGGTCTCGTGGGGGCTGGCGAAATCGAAGAATCGCATGTGGTTTCAACTGCTCAAGGGGAACCAACCTTTCATCGTTGCATGTCAATATAAACGGCCTCTTAGACTGGCTAATGAGCGTTAGAACACCGCTCCAGAATTGTTTGTCTTCTTCAAAGAGGATGTCTACTTCCTCAAGGAGAATCAGAGATTGTTTCTGGCTCGGTTGTGCTTTCGGAAATGGTCCTCTTCCGCTAAACGAAGGCTCATCATCCATGTCCCCTCGCTTTGTCTCTGGCGTGTTCATATTCCTTCCAAAAAAGGTTTTCACGGTGCTTTGCTTTCCAGGTTCACTGTTGTGCGTGGAAAACATTGGCTTGAGTGAAGGTGCGGTACGGGACTTGTCGTCGACTTGTCCAAGGAGTTGAACTAGATGGTTTTGTGTCATGTTTCCGACACGTTCGACAACGTCCCTGGCACTTCTACGACTTCCAGCATTTATTTCAAAAATTTCAAATCCAAGTTCTTTGGCTACTGCATGGACAGCCGCAGTTTTTCCACAACCTGAAGGGCCACTGATAAGTATCGAATTAGCCACTAAACGATTTTCGAACGCCGATTTAGTGTCTCTGATTGGACTATCGGATCGAACGACGGTCCTTTTATTAGATATAGTAACTCCACCAGCCAATTCGTCCTCATCGTTAGGAGTACCGATTTCATCCATTTGGGGCGGTGCATCATCATCACTGGAAACAATGAATTCATCAAGATCCTTTGGTCTTTTTCGCCTTTTCTTCAGTTTTGCGCTCTCACCAGGAATTTTTTTCGTCTGCTTTCCATCATTTTCGGAAGCACCGCTGCTTACTGTCGACACGGTGAGATTTCGCAGCCACCTTTTTAGAACCATGGCTTCAGTACCCAGCTGCAGTACGGAATCTGCTCTATTAGGTGCATATTTCTGCGTCCAGGGCGAGTCATCTGATTCCCCCTGGTCGAAAGCAGTCGTTGATGATCGTACCGAAGAGAGAACTTGAGCCACTGCAGGGTGCGACGTGTACGGTATTGAGGTTCGCTGACGGTGAACATTTTCGCCAATCATTTCCGTAGGCATTGGAGCTAAACCAAGTCGACTCATGACTATTCCCATGAATGTGTCACGAGTGCATATTTTTTTCTTTGGGGATCTTAATACTGCGGATCTTATATCGCTCCCGATAATATGTGAGAAAAGTCGTGATTTAACACAAAGGATATTCTCATATTCTGGTATTGAGGCAACCAAGCCTTTTGCTTTTCTCTCTTCGAAATCCACCAACGAAAAGTTGTTATCGTCATTCGGTGGAAGCCCACGTACATGGACAGCCCCCCTCGGGGGCCAAATTGGATCGGTGGGATCTATGTTTTGGGGAAGAAGTGATCGTGCTTTCGCTGCTGTCGCATTGGAATAATTCCCCTGTTGTGACAGGTTCGAGGTTTGTTGACTATGTTGGGGACCTTGGTCCGAGAGTTGATTAGTAGCGGCTGCTCGGCCATTTTGAGCGCATGCTAGGCGGTCGGTAGCTATATCCTCACCCTGTTCACATTTCGCTTCTGTTATCTGCGCTGCGGCCTTCCCAAGGAAAAATGGATGCGTAGGCTTCGAAGATTGTTGGGATGGATGACTAGGGAGAAGATCGCAGACAACATCCCTCGATAAAGGATACCGTTTCCGACCACCAATTATTTCATTTATTTGCTGGCCTATCGAGGAACGTGACTCTTCGTTGGCTCCATAATTCAACGATACCAACACAGAATGTTTTTTGCTTCGTTTCTGAGAAACAGATTTCTTCTTTTTGTTCGGCCCGTCAGGATCCCGAGGTGTGCTTTTGGATCGCACTGGAGAATTCAATAATTTCCCGTTTGGGTTTAGTCTTAACGTTTTGATAGGAGGATCATCGGACTTCGGGTGGATATTAACTGATGAGGATGAAGATGGCTGGTTCTGTAATTCCTCCGAAACCACAACCGCTGCGGGCACCTCGACTCCGCTTTGATTCCCGGATTGTTGTTCTACAGCATCAGCCTCGTTGCGAGCAGCAGCCTCGAGCTGTGCACCCAACGAAGGCGCCGGATTTTGCTGAACAGTATGTTGGCATAGTGGCTCCTCCGTGATCTGTCCAGCAGATTCTGGAGTGTATGTTTTGCGGCGCTTTTTCCGGCTACCATTAACATCCTCGTCTCTCGTGATAGGTTGGGGCTCGTGGACATTACTTGTGAGCGGGAGCTGTAATTGCTTGTCCCTCTTTCTGCTGCCACGAGCTGAAGGCTTTTCACAGCTCTGATTGGGGCTATCTGAACCAGATGTAGGATCTATCAATATTTTAACAATATCTTTCCTAACCGGCACTCTACCTTCAGGCTCCAGGGATCGTAAAGGTTTGCATTTAGACGATGGGAGATCGGTATCTTTTGGGCCTTTGAGAAGGTTAACAGGCTATCATAAATGACACAGAATTCCACCAACCTTTCCCAAAGAACGGGTGCAAGGTCCGTTGGTCATGCTGTCCCATGACCCTTTCAAGAGCGATAGCAGCCATTCAATCCCCTCGAGAATTGTTGCATTGTCAAGAGCCGAATCCCGAATGGTAACAGGATTGAATAAAAGAGGGACTTGCTATAGATTGAGAGGGATTACAAACTCAGATAATGTGAAACTGGAGTTGGTGCACTGCAATGAGATCTGTCATGTTGTCCGCGGATGCAGTTGAAAATAGTCGCGATTTCTCCGCCGCGTCTCGGCCAAATCGCGTATCCTGCCTAGCTTCGATGCCGGATTTGACTAGCGTGGAGGCCTTCCGGGAAAATATTACCCCGATTGCCGGCAGAAAAACTGCAATATTTTTTGAAAGCGACAAACTTCAAGTCTTCAGGGCCGTTGCGTCGGCATCAAAAGGACGGCGATTTTCGCAATATGGAGCTACAGGCACCCTTTGTCCTTGCCCAATTGCCACGTGCTCTGGGTGCTTCAGCTGGTAAATGCCAATTAGGTGAAGTTCACGGTGTAGCGGGGCCCAAGAAAAGGAAACGACATGAGGTCGTGGCCGCTATCGACGGCGAGAGCGTGAATATTTACAACGTAAGGGCCATGTTCCTTTACTTGCCATTCATTTTGATACATCGCTAACTTATTATGAGCAGGTTCAATTCCCAAAACTGGTCACCTCCTATGCAATTCCGCCGCAGTCTTCATTTTCATGTCCTCCCTGCTCAGTGCGGCAGAAGTCGACTCGGAACTCAAATACAGTTACAAGAAGGCAAACTTATTGTGCCATAGAGCAACCGGAGAATCAAGTGCAATGTTTCCTAGATGAGTCGACTGCTAGTGCTCATAATGCGTTAAACATTTCCAACACCTCTTTCAAGCTGAAAGACTCCCAAAGCCCTATTGTTTTCCTTGGCATCATTCCCGCATCCCTAGAAGCAGAGAATCAACAGGATCCCTTCGATGTACTTGTAGTTCATAAAGATGGACGGGTTCGCAGGCTCTCACCGGATCTCAAGACTCAGAAGTGGAATGCCCTTCCAACTACGGGGATTGAGAGGTCCACTACACATGAAATCCAGACTGCATTTCTTGTGGCTTTCGATGACGCACGCAAGTCGCTGTTTAAGAAGCGGCAGGATATCGTAGCGATGGTAATGGGTGATGAGATTGGAACGGAGTCGGGCAAATCCTCAATGCTAATACTTGTGTCCCGGCCACTTCACAAAGAGAACCTGCTTCCCAGCGACTTCGACGTAAACATTTTTTCTCTACCCGCTCGCGCTGCAGAAGATGATTTCTCAACGAATCACGCAAAGCGATTGCGACACCTAATGGCTATTCGTCTACCGAACTCCGAAGAGCAACAAACGCCATTCGACCCCAAGTCTCTGCACTGGAGCTTCCACCCTAACAATAGTGGGCTCTCCTTATCTTTTAATAATGGGTTTATAAATTACAATATATCTCCATATTCACCTGAAATATCGTCTCATTTGATTCTTCCCAATGAAACCTTCTCATCAATCATGCGAATATCCCCGCAATCTGTTATCTGTGCTAGCAGATCATCAATTGCAATCTATAACGCACGGTACCAAACAATCCAAGCCGACCTTTCGCTAATGGATATATCTACTGCAATCGCCGCAAAATCAGATACAGATAGAGTACCTATAGTTTTTGTCTCCTACTTTTCGAAGCTTGGAATTGCCATTGCGATACGTGGATCCGCACTTCTTGGCTTTGATCTTTCATCGTCTCATGACCGAGATGCGTCTCTAAAACAGTCTGGTGATGAGCTTTTGATCAATGCACTTGGTAAAGGAATTCGATTGCCATCAGATTCGATACGACAAATGGATGCAAAGCGAGTGAATCACATGCGGCTTTTGGGTCTCTCTGAACCTGACGAAGCTGCTCGGTGGGCTGAATTCAAGAAGCAGCTTGAAGCCCTAGCTGAAGCTAAGGATACTGTAAAGTTTGATAATGTTATTAAAGATGCATTCTGCAGAGCCCCAGTATCAGGCGAGGACGACAAGCCTAAACATCTACCGTCATCAGCGAATTTTGTGGACCCAGACAAGGTTTCCTTCTTGCTTGGGAAGATCTTTTCTTCAAGGGTCAATGACGTTGACCCAAAGACTTCGAAGCTGGTCGTTTCTTTTATGCCGCATCAAACATTCCGTTGGCTTATAAATTCCCATAATTTGAGCCTCAACAGTATTCGGACAGCTCTTCGACAGTCAATGAACTCAAAACAGATGCCACCCATCCCAAGCGGCTCACTGGTACAAGCCCTCGTCGATTATGAGCGTTCAATCAAGTTACTGTTGCAAGTGCTACAGAACCCGATAAATCTCGACCCCCCCGAACTCGCACATGCACTAAAGATCCTCCTTGACTTCGCCCGCTTTCATCAACCCAGATCAGAAGAAGAATTACCAACAATCATCACCGAAGCTGGTCGCCCATCTAAAGAAAATAGCCCTCATATAACAACCCCCGAAAACCAGAGTAAACCCACCACCACCACTCCTGAGATTGACACCACCATAACTGACGTCATCACTGGCCTAAACCTATCCCTCACAAAATTAAACGGCCATCCCATCCACAAAGTGACCCAAGCAATCCGCTCTGTCCTCTCTAACTCCGACACAGTTTCTATAATCCACCATCTCCGCCACTCCCTTGCCACAGGGGGCTACACCTCACGGTTCATGGAACAGTCAGAGGGGCCCCTTTCTTCCGACCCCAAAATCCCCACCCTCAACCTTTCCACCATGGTCAATGTGTTAACTGCCTGTATTGACGCCATAGGGCCAAGTGGCTGGATCTCCGCCGCTGCATTCGCGGGTGCAGAAGACAGCGAAGCAAGCCTAATCGCAGACATGAAATCCGAGATCTCAGCTGTGCTGGTCGGCATCGAAGAGGCAACATATCTCAAGGGCATTGTGCGAGAATTTGTCAGATACGCTGAAACAGCCACTGTTGGTGCTGGCAGCGGCAATAGGAACAATAAGGAAAATCAGGCTGATCGAACATCCCCGACCTTACCCCGTGGCAGTCGCCTGAAGCGCAAGGAACGACACAATGGTGCTGAAATCCTTATATATGATACTGATAACGTCACTGTTGCTGAGGGGCTGCTAAACAGTGACACCCAAATGCTTCCTCTGTCTCTTAAACGAGTGCAAGTTGCTGGCGGTGCGGGTATAGCTGGTACATCCACCACTATGGTTGGTGAAGAGGTGAGCAGGACTAAGATCCGGAAGATGACGGGTGAGGTGGTAGCGCGAACTGAGCGTGAGATCGGGTATTTGAGACGGAAGGCGGTGGGGAAGTACTCGGTGTAGGAGGATTGTTGTGTAGTAGATGGCATCATCGAACTATATCTACTG